GTAAAATCCCATTCAGGTCTTTCAAGAGGGCAAGCCGCATCGATTTCATTGGGCAGCTGGGTGGGCTGCCCGTTGGCTCCTGGGACATTCTTTCGTGCCTCTAGTAGAACGCGCTGTTTCTCCTCCGAGGTTAAGAGAACCTGCAAAATCTGTTCACAATCATCCCAGGTAGGTTGGTGAGTTGTGAGGACCGATTCTATGAGAGATGTCAGCCTCACAGGGTCTGCAGAGAAAGGAGGATTGTTATTTTTCCAGTTATAGAGGTCCGAGGCTGAGAATGGCCGTTCGGTCCAGTTCTGAGGGGCAGAGTGGTTGAATCTGGAGCGGGCTGCTCCCTGCGACCTCTCAGTCGGTGAGCCATTGGGGAAGGGTCAGGTGGGGGAGCTGGGGCCACCTCCACCGAGGCGGCGGGGGCCGCTTCTGCCTCTGGTGGGGGCGGTGGCGGTGCTGGATATGGCGGGGGTTCCTCAGTCAGTAAGTCAACCAACAGTTCTTCTCCCGGGGGGAGTACCTCAGGTGTCTTCTTTTCTTCAGCTTTAGCGTCTTTTACCGCTGTAGGGTAAAGGTTGGAATGGGGAGGAGGGTAGGGAGGAGTGGGTGTCGAGGGATTGGGAAGGGTAGGGGCCGAGGGAGTGGGTCGGCTGGAGCAGTTAATCCACCTGGTCGGGATGCCCCTGTGGTCCAGGATCCATAGTCTTCTCTTTCACCTGAAATATAGTTTGGGGGTTAAAGGTACCATCCCACGGCCAGCCCACGTCAAAGGTTGGCCATTCTGAGGAACAAAGAGTAATCCATTTGCGTTTATGCACATCAACAGACTGGTTATGAGCATAATCCTGCACATCTCTCCAGTGCGAGAGTGTTAGGGACAAAGGAGTGGTGACAGTTTGCCCCATAGTTTCTAGACCTAGGAGGACACAAATGATGGTTACAAGACAAAGACCGAGCAACACAGAACAGGCTTTTGCGGCGCGGTTTCGACACAAGGTCGAAAGTAAAACTTCAGATGGGGCCGAAGAAGGGGGCCTCCCTTCCTCGTCCCCGATGAGGATAGCAAATCCCTCAATCTGAGGGGCTTCCCCAAACAGATTGGGAAGATGCCTAGGCATCTACCCTAGTCAGAAAAAAGAGTGAGCCCACTGAGGCTCTAGACGCTACCAGGACGTCTCCTGGAGCCGTGGTCGGGAGTCTGAACTCTTCAGTTTTTCCTCGGAGCCG